GGGGCCCGTGGGTGAAGAGAAGAGGCAGGCTTCGGACAGCCACAGAGAGGCCGGGGCAGGCCTGCCGGCTGCCGAGAAGCGTTTGAGGGCGGGGCCCGTGGGTGTCTAACGTTGCTTTCGGAAAAGCCCATAAGAAGAGGAGAGGCAGGCCTCGGACAGGCCACCGAGAGGCCGTGGCCAACCACAATGCACCTGCACACATGCCTTTGGAAGTGCTTGGAGGGGTTCTGCAAGGCTTGGCCAACTGCTTCACCCTGCGGTGTCCCAGGCGCCTCCCCGCCTAGGCTTTGGCTATAGGCCGGGGTCGGCGGATATAGTTATACACTCACAATACATTATGTTTATTGTGTTTTTTTGGAATGGCAACTGATGCCAGAGGAGCCTCCGAGGCAAAGGCATCCAAACGTAAAGACGAACCTGACGTTCGAAATCTTGTTGGAGAGTTTGCTTTTGGAATATCCTGGCAGTTGATAGGAAGCATTTCAGGACCAAGGCCCAAATGCTTTAAATATGGAGCAACTGACATGCATGCAAAAATAGTGAACAGATGTGAAAAGCAAGCACAAGACATTCTTATAAGCGGTAGATTGCAGAACTCCATATACTTGTACACGCACACAATTGTTTACTGTTTACTCCACACATTTTCAATATTTGGATGGTTGCAGAGTTAGTGTTTGAATCAGTTGTTGCTTGAGAACCGCAGCGTATTCTGAAAACTCCCAAGTCACATTGTTCACAATTTTAACAACAAGATTGAACATGTTGCGTGACTTAAGCAGATGCGCTATCCTTTGTGCAGACCAAAATTCGCGTTGGCAAGGAATGCGCTATAAGTCTTGTCACCTTATGTTCGTGAGGTGAGTCAGTCTAGAAAAGGCCACACCGTTCAGCTGAACAGATAATGTTTGAGAACATATCTCATTCATTACGTGTATGTGCACCGTATATATATATATCATATATATATATATGTTTTGTATATACAGTATATATACATATATCCTCACAGGTTTACTTAAGACTGTGACACGTTTGCGTTTAACGTGTTTATGTTTCATTGAGCTCGCAGGAGGTTCTCATTTTGATGTTCCATTTTGCAGCCACTTGCAAGTGGCTGCAAGTGACTGCTACTTCTGTCCGGAGTATATCGTGATTTTTCCACACGCAGTTCTGAAGAAAACCAAGATTTCTGCAAAGCTGTTCTGCGAGCCGAGAAATCATGAATAATCCAAGACTTTTCCAAGAATAACTTCCAAACTTCTGCAGAGCTAGCGACGAAGAAATCTTACAGTTTCTACATAAAGAACTCAAAGTACAGTGTTGAAATTTGCTTGAGTGACAAGTGGCTGCAAGTGGCTGCCAAGTGGCAACCTGAGCAAGTGGCTGCAAGTGACTGCAAAACCAAAATCAAAATGCACATCATTTGCTCGCTCTCAGCGCTTTTTGTTTTTAACGTTTTTACGTTCTTTTTGAAGGAAGACAAATAGCGAAAAGAAAGAAGACGTCTGTATAGAAACCAACGTTTCAAGTTCTTCTTGGTGGTCTCACTCTCAAGTGCCTGCACATCCTCTGCGGAAATGACACCATCACTGTCCCGGTCAAAAACACACATGTATGCAAGAAAACATGTGTGCGCAACACAGCACGCTTCGTGTATACATATTGGTGTGCAGAGTGCTGAAGAGTTTCCTTTGTATGGGTGTGCAATTTGAACCGAGCGTTAACATCCCACCCCAACCCACCCCACCCCACTCTCAGTCACTCGCATTGTGTACATAGCGTAGCGTAGAAGGGTTTCTTCTGTATGGGTGTGCGGGTGTGCAATTTGAACCGACGTTAACATCCCAACCCACCCCACTCTCAGTCACTCGTATTGTGTGCGTAGCGTAGAAGGCTTTATTCTGTCTGGGTGCGCAGTGTCTGCAGAGTAATTTATATGTGCAGAGTAAGTTGAATCTAAAAATATAGGTTGGAAACCATCGCTTGTATGTTTATTTGCAGAGAACCTTTCGCTTTGGAACCACACACGGTACAGACGTGGCAGGCCCAAGCAAGGTTCATTTCTTGCCAACTGGACAAAGTGTGACCACCTTCGCTCCATTCTCTGCTTCATAAAATTCCATACCACGATCAATACCTGAGATGCCTGTAGCCCCCCCAGCCACACTCCCCATGTAGAGTTTGGGCAAAGAATTTTGATTCCTCTATCATCTTTGACAGCAACAGCGTGGAATCGTATTTAAACATTAAACAAAGAATGTGGTTTTGACTGTAGGGACCATTCAAGGCGAACCTTCAACACCTTTCCCTTTGAACCATGGATCAAAGAGAGACCTCCCTTGCAGCCCTCACTTTGCCAATGTTTGTGCCAGGAAAGGCAACCTTTTTTGTCATGCTCTCCGTGGACCAAGACGAGGAGCGCTTTGGAGGATCGGTTGTACTGCAAAGGTCATGCGACCAACAACGAGGAGATGTGGTTCGAAAGCTTCCCCATCAAGGAGGAGGATTTGCCATACTTCTTGCCAAGCGGCAACGATGACTGGACCCAGGCACTCGCTGCAGGGTTTGTTAAGTTGTAATGTTAGTACACAGAGATACACAGGAAATGAAGGTGATAGAACTGTAGAAACTCCATGCGGGAAGTTAACGAAGGTAAAAATGGCTGTGCCCCAAGCATCAGTGTCTTTCAGCCTAGAGGGTTACACCACGCTTGGGAGCCAACCAACCAACTACTGGCTAGAGCAACGAATAGGTCGCGCATGATTGCACAATTAACCGGGTGCCCAACTTCACACACAGGCAGGTGATGTGAGGAAGAAAACCTTGGCAGTTTGTTTAAATGTCACCCTTGGGCTGGGCAGCTGGATACTGTATCGTTTTAGCCTGCTTTAACTTGAACCATCAGAACAGTCTCATTCGCACGCACTTTTCATTGCTTTCCACTCAATCTGCTTGGCTGCCAAGTCTGGATCAGGTGTACGTACACAATAATTGCAGTCGCATCAAACATAGCAGATGTGCTTCAAGAGGGACACTGTACACAGTTCAAGAGTGGAAGAATAAACAGAAGTCAGAATGGATGGAGGTAAGCTTGGGCCTGCTGGACAACACAGCCTCGCCCTTCTGGCATGCTTTCTCGGGTCAAAAGTCAAAACAGCTTTTTATAGTTTTTGTTGACTTTCACCTGTTACTTTGACAATACGGGCACAGACCAAAGTATGATTCGTCATGATCTGTCCGATATATGTTCAAGTGGTGCACAGCAACATGAATATGATGAACTCAAGGAGGATTGGGCACAAAGGGAAGATCACGACATACTGAGCTGCCAAGAGCAAGCCAAGCTGCTCGAATTTCTTGTCAGTTCCCAGGAAAAAGAAGGCCGAATTGAAAGACTGGGTGCGACGGCCGAGAAACATCAAGCACCCGAACTACATTGCAAACCTGACATGTTTGGATTGTTTCGCTTTAGGTTCTGTGATTCATTTAGACAGCGACAGAGCATCAGAGGCTACACTGAGCACTCAGTGAGTCCTTTGTGGAAGGCCCCTAAGTATAAAGATTTGCATCATAATGGCCTTGTTTACTGCTAGTCATCAAATATATATAATATGGTCAACAAAAGTGACTCGGTTTGAAACCGGCGGTTTCTCTCATATATATATACATATATATATATATAATCAGTTTTACTTTTTGGGCTGAACATAGCTTGGTCGTTCAATTCTGTTTTTCAGTCCTGTTCCCTATAATCCAACAAGAAGACACAGATACCCTTTCCACAAGATACCGCAAGCAAAAATATCAGAAGCAACAATCCATGCTTGTTGTTTTTAGATGAATGTCAGACATGTCGGCACGCAAAGCCATCTCCCAAAGACGCACTGTTATTTATACCAAATCTTGCCACTGTAGGCAGTCAAGTAGCAGTGGCCAGTATTTCATGACTGTGACACTGTAGGGGGCCCACAGGAAGATCCCGATGACAGGTGGGAGATCATGACCATGTGCTCCAGATTCTGCAACGCTCGCTACTAGGACTCTCGTCGGGTGTGTGTTTGTATGAATGCTTCGCGCGTACTTGAGTGGCTTTGCCCTGGCCTGGGTTGGCTAGAACTTTCTAGGCGAGGGCGACTTGACTGGGGTGTGGATGTAAGAGCCTGGCCTTTGTAGACATGAGAACATGAGAGCCTACTCCAGTACTGCCCAAGGCACTGGAGTGGGCGTTTCAAGGAGAGGAAGGGATATGAACGGAGGACAAACATCATATGCGGAAGATGTAAGAGAATGTAGGAGTCCTTGCCAGCAAATTGGCAGCTCACAATTCTTCAATGTTCCTTCTGCCCGGGAGGCGGTTCAAACCTGTGGACACTCTGTTCAAGACACTGAACAGACTCCAAGCGACACTTATTGGGCCTAGCAGCCTAGCAGCTGCAAAGCTCACGATAAACACAGCATGAGTCACAAGAATTATGCAAGCAAATTCCTTCAAATTCCTTAGGGCAATTCCCCAATAGGTCTACCCCGTTGATTCAAGAGTACTTCTGACGTAGAAAGGGAAGAAATGGAACAAACAGTCAACCGGTTTGAATCCCTTTCCATTATTATACATCAAACTATGCGCGCAATCTCCAGAAGCCTTTTTGATATTACTAGAGGTAGACAGTCTAAGAGTACGTCCTGGTGCCTAAGAATCTACTGTACTTGTTTCGCTTAGTAGCTACCTCCTCAAGGCCTACCCCCTTTTTATTTCACAAGAGTTCTTTGATTTCTTTAAGCTTTCTTCCTTTCGCCAAAGCCAAGACCTAAGACAAGTTTCGAGCGGCCCAAGCTTCCAGCGTCAGAGCTCCACGATGTTCTTCCACGTCTCGTTTCAATTCGCAAAGCTTCGCCCAAGCCTATTCCGGGTTCAAGCCCTTGGACCTCATCGCAAGCTTACACCCTGGCGCCCCCCAAGCAACCCAAAAAATGTAAAATCAATTCACAGGGTTGCTTGCTTCTGGAATTCTTGCTTTCAGGAAGTGTGCAGTTTCGCTCTTCAAAGCACTACGATGTCGTCTTTGGCTTGTTGAAGGTCGGCCGCAAAGAGCGAGCTGATTGAGCAGACTTTTGTCAAGTTGACGATGTTCGGACTCCGGACCTGGAGACATTTCAATCACTGGTGGATGTGAACCATTGCCTGATGAGTGCCTGTTTATTGGGCTTTACACAAAGGCAACAATGTTGTGCAGAGATGGCATGGTGTGACCGCTTGTCATGATGTGCTTAGCGAGACTCAAGGTTAGCTTTTTGGCCTTGTTGTGGTCCAAATTGTTGTCACGTAGTATGTCCATACTGGAACAGAGACCCCATGTCATTTCATTTGGATTACTATGACTACTGATGCTTTATGCGAGGTCAATCCTACACTGCCAAGGGAGTTGACTCCAGGCGTCCACACGGAGATCGTGGCTCCTGAAAGGCCGTAGATCTTGTTTTGTTGCAGCCTTGCTTTTGGAAGGAAAGCTCATTCTGCAGGTGCTATCGTCAATTCCACATCTTTGAGCGTTTGCCACTGAAGTCCCTGCCTTAGCATGTGTGTGTGAAGCACAGGGTTGTCAGCTACTCAACTCGTATCGCTTTGAGAGGGTTTTCAGCATCTTTGCAGCCACAATCCTTCCGGCACTATCGAAGCTCCAAGATCTTGACCCTTTCTTGCTTTAGGACAAACATGGGAACATGGGATATGACCAGCACTTTGTATGCCAGCCAGGAACTACGGATATGGCTTTGAAATCGCTCCAGAATTGGAGGCACTTCTTGCTGGATGTCAGAGCAAGCGAAGTGGGTCTCTTGTATTTTGTTGGATCCGTGATTCCGAACACGGCTGTCGCTTTAAGTTGAAAGACGTCGAAAACATCAAGAGGTGTGCTGTGAAAGTCTCACCTGTCGCTCATCGCTCACTGCTTTGCTATATGAGATTCAGATTGCTTGCAGCTTTGTGAGGTGGACGGTTTTGTGTATGGTAGCTTCGACGAGATTATTGCACGCCACATGGACAGCGCGACGATTTTCGTGACAGCAACAGTTGCAGTCAAGTTTGTCAAGCCTCATTTCCAACGCTGCAGGAACCAATCATGGAGAACCTCAGGGCGATACAGAACCACAAGCATTTTGGCCTGAAAGAGGGCCAAATTACCGACAAGATACAAGTGGAGGATGGTCTCAAGTACTTAAGCCGTGGCAACCGGGTGCTGCAGTACAAGCTTCTACTACATGACCAAGCACCCGGGCATGGCCAATTGCTATGGTGTGTCCAAGCAAAATCAGTGAAGGAGGAACTCATCGAAGTCTTCCCCCACGGCTTTTTCCTTTGGGGTCTCCATTTCAGGACATTGAGAGAATTGATCGAATGGTTCAAAGAGACCGGATGGCGAAACCGGGACAAGTGCAGAAAGGATTTCCGTGAGGAGCCTGGACTCACTTGCTTTAACACAGAGCGTTTGCGGATGTTTGCGGCATAAACAGGAAGACTTTGCCAAAGAGACTAAAATACTGTAATCGCCAGCACAGATTGCTTTTGCAGAATAAAATTGAATAAAAAGTCATCTAAAAGTCAAACCTGAACAGGATCACCCCGCTTAGAAGATCAGGTCAAAGTCATATGTCAGTTTCATTGTACGGAGGAGTGCAGGAAGAGAGAGGAAGTGATGCGAGACAAGCGTGGGGAGCACGCAGATCCAGATGCAGCAATTCGAAGAAAGAGAACGCTCAGGAGCAGAGCAGGGTTGAAAGCAACAAACCCTACAACTTGCAGATGCTTACAGTTTCATATTGGCCTGCATCAACATGCTGGCTGGTCTGCATAAGATGCCTTTCCTCCGTCGAACTAATTCCATGGATGTCCAAAGGATGCTAAGCACAACCCAGTGCGACTTCATCCAGCATTTGGATACAGTAACTTCTCTTGTGGACCCCCCATGAAATGTTGTCCGACCTCGTAACCTATGGCTTTCAGAGGAACGTCGCTTCTGTCATAACGCGGGTTGTCCAGCTGCAGGATGGCTGCAGGTGCTGATGGACTCCAAACACCAGGTGGAAGATCCGGCGCACCCACTCCATACGGCCACTTCAGACAGGAGGCAGATGCGGGTCCAGATGCATTCTTGGACAATGCGGGAAGAGCCACAAGAAGATAGACATGACATGAAACATCATGAAACAATATTAAACATGTTTTGAGGACGCCACTAGGGACTCCTGGCATCGCTACTAGGAGCAAGGACCCTACTAGGGGCGCCTGGCCTTACTACTAGGAGCAAGGACGCTACTGGGAGCTTTTCCGCGCATTGTCCAAGATAGATCAGGCCGTCGCTAATGTATTTTTGTTTGCTAACTACCTACAGCACCTGCACCGATCACCCACCCAACACCTTGACCAACCCAGATGATGGGCACAAACGTGAATGGCCATATGGCAGACTCCACAATAACACACCATCCAAATGGGTCTAATTTGTGAGCATCTGTATGAAAGACCTCTTCTTCTCCTCATCCTTCATCATACTCATCCTCGCAACTGGGCTCCTTTCTCCATCAGGCCAATGCAGCAACGCCAGCTGGTTTGTTCTCGAGCCCGGGCACAACCCGGACTGTTGCACCTGGCAGCGTGCCTCCTTCGCCAGTTGCTGCCACTCCAGCCCGAGGCACATGCGTGGGCGGCTTGTTTAGAATGTGAGAGGCAAGAAGTCCAAGTGCTTCAATGTGGTGCAGCCTTAGATTCCAGTTTCCACGAACAAACAAACTGTTCAAACCTTTTCTGGTTGGAGGTAAGTGGTGCTATTCCTGGAAGGGAAGCATTGGTGGTATGATTAATTTGTAATCACAATGAACAATGAGCTAGTTGTAGTTATAGTCATTGAAGAGCAAAAACGGTCATACAGTATGTCAACTGTAAACGACCAAATGTATGGTGAAAAAGAAAGCCGAGCCGAAGCACTTCCAGCCATTTTCCCATCAACAGCGGCGGTTCGACATGCACATAAGCACAGGTGGGACAATAACTCCAGCAGCCTGCTTTGAGCGTCCAGGCAGGATAAAAGAGAAGGCAAGACTTCGAGCAAGCTATTTCTATGATTTCTTGAGTGTTGAAACTCAGAAGGGTCGATTTGGCATTTGTAGAAGGCAATGCATTCCAATATACAGTAGATCCCAATCCTGTCAAGTGGCCTCAGGAGCTCCAGCGACCCCTCTGCATGCATTCCCGAATTTCTCACGTGGAGGCACACTGACTGTTCGGTTGCGATAAGTCGCTGCGCAGATGTTGCTCATTGCAAATAGTGTTTATATACATAGGAGAGGGAAAGGAGCATACATGTGTATCCCTAGAACCTGAGCAGTGGTCCTGAAATTTCAATATTCAATGCAACGCCTACCTCTCGACATGTCACGGATGTGGTTGGGGCATGTCGCATCGTTTGATCAGCTTGAATGCCAAAAGACTCTAGATTCACTCTAGATACAGTTTGTCACCAAGCAGGCTTGTAATTCAATAAACATTTTGCGCTCCTCATGACACACGACTGGGCACATGCATCTCGAGCTGTGCATGCTGCAATGCCACCACCGTCCCTGTGCAGGTGCCATGACACCAACAGGCCCAGGCGCAGCCATGACCCCGCATGAAGCTCCAGGAACACCTGCAAACGCTTTCCCCGGAGGCCGGAGCATGGGAAGGCTATTTCGACGTGGGAAAAGACATCAGTTTTTCCCTTCAGTGTCGGATCTTGGTTCGTATGAGGGGTAGTGAATTCCGATGTTGAACAAATGGATCCAAATGTCAGTGAGTCCCTAGTCGTCAAGGATTGGACAGCGCGTGTTATGAGGATCCAAATTATTCTGAGTCGTTCCATGCTTTTGCATATGCATGCTCCATTTTGTTGCCCCAGGAGGTCAAGCAACCCCGGAACAATTTATCAACTTGCAAACTTTGGAAGCAGGGATGGATCACAATCCCTTTGGACCCCTTAAACAATTCAATGTATCAACAAGCGTCAGACCGGCCAAAAGCAAGAGTGGTTCAGGCTATGGGCATGCTGTTTGTTCCCATCGGCAATGTCATGGATGGTGAATATGGATCCAAAGTCAATTCAGACCATACTCCATACACAGAAACACATGAACAAGGAACAACTCACCACTGGAGTTCAACAAAGCAGTCGCATATCCACCACTTCTGTGAATCAGACTTGCAGATGCTAGCTTGTGATATTGTCCTGCCCTCCACCCACTACCACCAAAGTTCTACTGTACAGGTTTGATTTGACCAGGACGATCCGGTTAGGTTTGGATCTACTAGGTCAACAGCTCCGCAGGTGCGATGACACCAAGCAATATCATTCCACACACGCCTTTTGACACGCGACCTGGTCCGGGAACCTCAGACACGCTGTGAAGCTGCAACATGAGTTGACAACTTCAGCTATATAAATTCCTCAGCCTTCAGGTACTCCTGGGCAACAAATTCCACAGACTCCGCTTCTAGGAGGCCATAGAGACATCCAATGCTTTGCTTCAAATACGGCTGAGGCTTGTGATAAGAAATCCCCATTTTGTCGATAGAGTAGAATACTTCTTGATCCCGAATCTAGTGTTGGAATAAGACATCTAATGTCGGGTTTCTTAATCTAGGGGTTTCTATGTCCCACACATCTCGGGTCCGCACCCCTTTCTATTTTCCTGTAGATTCTCCTGGATAGAAGAGGTTTATGTCTTTTCAGTTTCAAACCCTTTTGAGAACCCCTTTTCCAAAGCAAAATGCAATGAATCAGAAGGGTTCATTGCGCAGCAGACGTGGGTGGAAGTTCAATATGTTTCTTAGATTCATCAGGAAACACACATACCTCGTCCTGCGTGTGTCCCTCCAAAACCGTATCTTGTTCCGCTTGTTTCCCGCACTGTCGGGGTTCTGCGGCATCAAAGGGAAACATACGGGCCACTTGAGCGACGTTTTCTTGTTAAAAATGAGCGGGTTAATCAAGGGGTTTTATATTATATTATATTATATATATTGGCTTTACAATGTCCAACTATTATAGCTTCGAGTAGGGATTCGCATGGTGCAGAGGATTGTCTCTCTTTCAAATATTTGTTGGGGGGCCTGTTCCAAACACCCAAATTCAATCATGACAGCAGGCTTCATTTCGTAGCAGATGTTGGGCATGGCCGGAAGTTGAAAGTTTTAAGTTTTAAGATCTTTTTTCAGGTTCCACCCTTTGAGAAGGAAGAGGAGGAGGAGAAGGAATAAGAGCAAGTACCGGTATGCAGGGTTTGGTTGTAATTTCTTTAGTATATACTGTGTTGTTTCTTAGTGCTTACTAAATTGGGTGTGTTTCCTAACTAACATGGGAGTCTAGAGTGACATACTGTCCTCGACATTAGAGCACAATTTATCAATCTATAAACATGTCTTAGCGCAGTCCCAGACCGTACTTTCGTTGAAGCCCACAGGTGTGACTCCTGCTGCGCCTCCAGCATATCAATACCACGATATGATTGATGGAGGCGACGAATCGTTTCCTGAAGCAAAGGGCTTGTGAAGAGCGCTCAGGTGTTTAAGCGCTCATGTTTCATGATTTGTCTCTATACATATATATATTGCTTTATCTTTCAACAAGTTTCTTGTTTTGGAGGCACACCAGGAGAAGTCCCCGTGACCCCAGCAGCGCGGCCAAGAGGCTGACCTCTTTGGGAGCGCTTTGGCATCAGGAATTCAAGAGTGACACACAAGTGACACAATTTTATGACTCTTTCATAGTTTTTGTTACTCTTTCAGCTGAGCTATGAGTGAGTGTCAAATAGATTTTATGAACAGGTGCCAACTTGGGAAAACTGGTGTCCACACATTGTGGCGACACCCACTGGAGTCCTACGAATCCCATCCACATTGTGGTGTCCAATCACATGCCTCGGTTTACCGGGTTGTTTCATCCAGCTTTTGAACCATGTGCCACTTGGTTTTCTCTTTTCTGTCTAGATGTGGTGGTATGATGTGGTATGTGAGCTGTAAGATGCTGTGAGGTTTGCTGGTCTAACGCTACAATTCAGGGTGAGAGAAGGCGATGCTGTCCAAGAAACGTTCAAGAATCTCCAGGACGAGACATGGGGCCAAGATCGATCCAGGAAGACTTGTTCACGTATACGCTGATTGGTATGGGCTTTTTGGAGTTCTTGGCCATTGTTTGATCCTTGGAGACCGTCGACCTGACAAACCGGGCTAGGGCGGCTAGGAGGTAGGGGTCTTTATGCCGTGTTGAGACAAACGGCAACACAGTATTTAACTATTTATATAAAAGGACATATCATATATATATAATATATTACACACTGTTACACAGTATGCACACACTATATACGGCATATTTTTTGTCTGGGTTTTGGAGAGTGCTTAGATGTTGTTGGTGGGCATGAGCTAAGGAAGGTGACAAGCAGCCACCCGCCTCTGAGTGCTGAGTCCGTCTGACAACTTAATGTGCCGACGGATTGGAAAGTGACTCCAAGTCATAGTGCGCAGATATGAGCAGACTCCTATTGTTTGCACGCTCTACAGGGTTTTATGGAGTGACTTGTGAAGGACGCAGCAAGTTGAACTAAGTATCAGCTGGCTTTGACACTGACTGTAGAAATCCATCAGCTGTGAGACCACTGATCAAGGCCCAGTGACAGCAATGCTAGTTTTGGCACCCCGAGTTCACAGACTATTCAAAGACATTCGTCGCAAAAAGCAAACATGAACAAACTAGTAGCAATGGCCCCCAACCTATATAATAGCAAGCAAACTAGACGAACACATTTCATCCAGCGAGCAGCTCGTGGATACATTTACGAATTGTTGGAGCTGCGCCTGCGCAGCCGTGCCGAACGCACTGGTCAAGGCATGACTGTGTTGGGCTCGCTTCTTCATCTCAAGGTTTGGTTTAAAGTGGTAGAAAGCTTTATTGTTCCATATAGTTACTAGTAGCTACTTGCTCCTAGTAGTACGGCCAGGAGCCCCTAGTAGCATTCTTGCTCCTAGTAGCGATGCCCTTTGCTCCTAGTAGCTTCTTGTTACTAACTAGAGCTTTGGCCTTTAGGTGAGCCGCCGCATCCTAGAATTTTCTCAGGCGAGCCGCAACCTAGAATTTGCACTTGACAAGACACTGTCGCAAGACCCAGTCACATGGGGGATAAAGTCATCAAGGATCCCGAGTTCCGTTTTGATTTGATTGTAGAGCTGCTGTCGGATGTCGTGAAGGGGGATTTGCTTTTTTGAGATTTTTTGATTGTGCGGGGCACACTTCCTCCTGTTTGCTTTATCATTTTGTGGATCTTGCCATCTCGCTGTCTCTTCGAGATCCATTTTCAGCGCCTTAGGGGATGCTTGCCACACCTCCGAGCGCTCCTGGCGCTTATCCAGTGTATGCCGGGCCTTGAGGGAAACAGTTGACCATCGGCTTTAGTTGTTCTATTGTTGACAGCCTTCAACCTAGATCCTAATAGCAAAGGCCTTCAACCTTTCGGTTGTTTTAAGCCTTTGGACTCTTTGGACCTGTGAACACAACAAGAAGCTAGTAGTAACAAGTGCATCGCTAGTAGTAACAAGTGCATCGCTAGTAGTAACTAGTGCATCGCTAGTAGTAACAAGTGCATCGCTAGCAGTAACAAGAAGCTATTAGAATTACAATTAGTAACATCAGTTGTCATATCTTGTCATTGCCGACGTCAAAGATGGCTAAAATCTCAAGGCAACAGCTGCACGCGGCTCCGCAGCTTCGCGGCCGGCAGCCCCACGGATGCCGTTGCGCTGGGGTGGCTTTCCCGAGCCGAACAAGGCTGCCACGGGTTTTGCATCACTTCAATCCTCACTTCCTGCTTGACATGCACTCGCTGTTCCAGGTCGTTCAACCTATGCATGTGGCAGGTGTGCAGCTGCAAATTCAGTCAGACGTTGGTCAGATCAAATTACACCAGATCCCACAAATTTGGGGCAAGAACCCAAACACCGGACATTCCTCCAAATTGCCTTGCTGGTCTGGAACAACTTGCCAAATTGATCCAAATTGCCTTTCCAGAGCAAATTGAAGTGCTGGCCCGAGCAAGTGACGGCTGAGGGGCAGCAAGAGGAAACTTTCTCATGTGTCCTAATTTAGTTCTAGAGCAATCGACTTTTTCCATTTAATTGCTTTTTATATATTGGCGCATCACACATCTCAATTCCTTGATTTCAGAATTCCAGATCAGGACGTGCTGCACACAACCAGAGCCCCGTGGCTGCAGCGAGCTCAGAGCGATAAACACCTAGATTCTATTTGCTGTTGCTGGGTAGGTGGTTTGAGTCGTTCGATTGTAAAGAGCTTTGCTATGCTTGTTAATTTACTGTTTTATTTAATTCTAATAGCGTCCTTTGTTACTACTAGTAAGGCACCTGTTACTACTAGCGTGGCACTTGTTACTAGTAGAACCGCCTGTCTTTGCTTCCAAAAGCTCCAACCTTGGCCACCAATGATATTTCGACCTTACTCCTTGCATGGCTTTGAGTCTGGGGTCGTGAGGCGGTGAATGCAGTGCTTGCGGCAGTAGACCTAGACGGTGTTTCCGCAAGTGGCTAGAGACTAGAGAACCTTCGCTACTGAAGAATACCTTGCAGAATGCATATTGGATCAACCAGTCCTTTACGAGAAAGCATCAGCCCAATAAAGGCCTGGAGACCACGACTTCTTGAACTAAGGCTCCAACTCCAAACAACAAGATTCAGCCACAGCTACAGAATTTGCCGCTGGCCTTGGATTTTGTCCTTTGCTGTGGCTGCACATGTACAAGTTTCAAACTAAGTCTTTGGTACTCGTATGTCTATTTACTCTGTCATTCCATACTTGCTTGCGTTTGCTGTGCCTAGATTGCTATCCTTGACTCTTCGTGTCTTTTAGCTGAGCCTTGCCAACACGAACTGTATGCCCTTCCTTTCGTTTTATACTAAAGCTTGCTTTTCCGCTGAATCTGCAGTTGTGGGCTTTGCTTAGAAGGCAGCCCATCGAGTGGTGAAGGCTGCTGAATGCTGAAGCTCGCTTGTCACCTAAGCCAACTTAGGCTTAGGCCTTGCTCCTACCATCCGCTTCGAAGGTTGTTTGTGGTTGCACCAAATTGTGTTTGTGCTGGCATCTATGAAGAGTGCTTGGAGTTTTTGGAAAAGATACAGAGCTGTGTCATGCATTCACAAAGAAGCAGTACCAGATGACTTCCTGCGAGAGTGACAAGCGTGCGCATGCTTTCTGATACGGTTTGTTGGGTACTCAAGGGCACGAATCTCACAGAAAGCATAGCACTAGCCGGTGATGGCAAAGGCACCAACGGCTGGTTGCTTAAAGTACGGCTCTAAAGGATGTGCTTTTGCAAAGTACATGGGCAAATTAGCAGTGCAGATAGATTGTTCTGTGAGTATCCTTGCTGTGCCATGCCCAAGTGCACCACCCAGAACAAAGGGATGAACCCGGAGACTCCTGTGAAGCACAAGAAGGTGATGAGCTCTCCAGAGTCATCTCACAATACGATTAATTAATCTTAGATGCCAACAAGCTGCAAGTTTGATTCCAGGCTGTTGCAGGTCTGCCAGGTGATGTGGACAGGTTTGCTAAAGTAGTGGTTTGCTGTTTGCATCACGGACAAAATCAGAGTTGACTCCGCAACCCTCTCAGTTATTCTGAGATTGTGGTGTTGCCATAGGAATCCTTTTTGTTTTTTTGACTTCGGTAGCATTGCTGCTGACAAAGGTAACAGCGGTGTGGATAGGAGAACTGGCCTCTGGCAGAAATGCCTTTTGGCCCGAAGAAATAAACGATATCAAAACGATCTCCTTTGGCCGTGCATCGTTCAGCTCACACAGCCGTTCGGAGGGACGCGGCTTGGTGAACACCTGGCTCGGCCATCCCATTATGCTGTTTTTAACAGTAGTTCCTGCACTTGCAATCCCGTGATCGCAGTGTGGCGCCCCACGACAACGTGTTTGCTTGTGAAATCTTCGCAGCCCAGGCCGCGCTTTCAGCCTCCAGACTTTGAAGGTGCGGGCAGCTTGTGGTCGGTTGTCCTTTCTTCAGCACTGTGACTCGAACTGAGGGGAAGATGGCCAGCTGCCAAGCCGCTTGGAGAGAATCCATGTATGACATACTTGCAACCATGACCCGCTCCACGTACAAGTTCTTTGTTTTGGCTTCATGAACATGACCGCTATAGCTTTGAGTCATGACTTGCATAATTCATCAAGCACGACCGTTGTACTTACGGTGCCTGTTTGCACCTTGCCAGAGGACCAGATTCACCATGCAGCACTCCGCGGGAAAGCCCAGAAAAGGCGGGTTTGAGAACGTCTGAGAAGACGGGTAGGCTGTGAAGTTCACAAGACCTGGGAACCTAACCGATCTACTTGTGTATTACCAGTAATTCCCCAAACAGTTTACTGTTGGGGTTCTATCTTAGAAAGAAAAGAGCTGGCCACACTCACTGGCCGCGCCCCTGAACTCTGTGGCTGGGCTCCGTGGCTGGGCTTTGTGGCTGGGCCTTGTCCTCCTCTTGTCCTCCTCTTGGCCGCGCCCCTGAACTCTGTCAACTCAAACTCTGTGGCTGGGCTCCGTGGCTGGGCCTTGTCCTCCTCTTGGCCGCGCCCCTGAACTCTGTCAACTCTGTGGCTGGGCTCTGTGGCTGGGCTCTGTGGCTGGGCCTTGTCCGCCTCTTGGCCGCGCCCCTGAACTCTGTCAACTCTGCGGCTGGGCTGCTCCGTGGCTGGGCCTTGTCCTCCTCTTGTCCTCCTCTTGGCCGTGCCCCTGAACTCTGTCAACTCAAACTGTGGCTGGGCTCCGTGGCTGGGCCTTGTCCTCCTCTTGGCCGCGCCCCTGAACTCTGTCAACTCTGTGGCTGGGCTCTGTGGCTGGGCCTTGTCCTCCTCTTGTCCTCCTCTTGGCCGCGCCCCTGAACTCTGTCAACTCTGTGGCTGGGCTCTGTGGCTGGGCCTTGTCCTCCTCTTGTCCTCCTCTTGGCCGCGCCCCTGAACTCTGTCAACTCTGTGGCTGGGCTCTGTGGCTGGGCTCTGTGGCTGGGCCTTGTCCGCCTCTTGGCCGCGCCCCTGAACTCTGTCAACTCTGTGGCTGGGCTGCGTGGCTGGGCTCTGTGTCCAGGCCTTGTTGTCCTGAACTCTGTCAACTCTGTGGCTGGGCTCTGTGTCCAGGCCTTGCCCTCCTGTTGTCCTTCTCTTGCCCGCGCCCCATGAACTCTGTCAACTCTGTGGCTGGGCTCTGTGTCCAGGCCTTGTCCTCCTCTTGTCCTTGTTGTCCTCCTCTTGGCCGCGCCCCTGAACTCTGTCAACTCTGTGGCTGGGCTCTGCGGCGCACGCTCTGACACCAGAAAGGCGCGCTCAGAGCGCGCTCTACAGAGAGAAAGACAGAGAAAGATAAACTTGAAGAGAAAGAGAAAGAGAAAGAGAGAGAGAGAGAGAGAGAAAAGAGAGAAAGAAAGAAACAAAGAAAGAAAAGAAAGAAAGAAAGAAAG